CAGCAGGAAAACATGGTCACAGAACATTTTGGGATGGGAGGGTCCTTTAAGAGTCATCTAGACCAACCACCTTGCAGTGAGCAGGGACACCTTCAGGTAGATCAGGTTGCTCTGAGCCCAGTCCAACCTGACCTTGAATGTCTCCAGGGATGAGGCTTCTACCACCTCTCCAGGCAACATGTTCCAGTGTTCCACCAACCTCACTGTAAAAAATGTTTTCCTTAGATCTAGTCTAAATCTACCAATCATTACCCCTTGTTCTATTGCAACAGGCTCGATTACACAATGTCCCCAATACACATCGTTACTTTTGAAATGCTTAAAAAAGAACACGTTCATCCCCCAAAAGGAGATTAATCACAATCTTAATGTACAGTTATTTATAATATTAGAAGTACATATACTCAAAGGTACACAGATGGGGCTATGTGGTTTTAATCTCAGCAGTATTTGTAGTGTTCACGCATTAATCCTTCCCCATGGCACTGCGTACATGAGACAGGGAATGACTGCACGTATCCTACACTGCAAGGCAAGTTGTCAGGACACGATGCAGCTCAAATGTCTCATATAACAACTGAAAGAAATTACATGTCTTTAACTATTAGTTTATAAATATTCCCACTATATGCAAAGCTCTGAGTAGCCCCTTCCACAAAGGGACAGGTACTCAGAGAACAGTACAAATAAAAGATTTTAGGACTAGTCTCCCCAAGCAGTACAACACTTCATGTCAGCACCGGCTTTTCATTTCAATTCAAAGTCTCACTAACAGGGAAATCTTCAATACCTTACCTCCAGAATTATCCCAACAATGTTTCTGAGCAGAATTTGCAGGGCCTTGACCACCCTGTTATCAAGGTCTGAAAAACTTAGTAAAAGCCAGAAGAAGTAAGAAATCAAAGAACATATGAAAGTATCAATTTGGCTATCAACAGGGAGCCTCATCAGATTAATTTACATGTTGATACACATTCTGAAAACCAGACAGGCTTGACTCAGTAGTTGGAATGACTCAGAACGCCTTTCTTAGCAGCAAAGAAAAATTACATTTCTTCTCTGCTGGACAACCCAGGAGCTTATCTAACAGCATTCTCCCTCAGAAAGATTATATACTCAAAGGATTTTATCCTCTAACCCCTATTGGCACCATCTCAAACTTTGGAAAGGTTCCTTCCAGAGGGTCTTTTCAGAAGAGGAATTAAGTACTTGGTGCAATTTTAAAATAATACACAAAAGTTTGCTGGATGGCAGAAAGTGAGGCAATGCAGTTAACAAGACACCACTGAAACCAGTTCAGTATGTTCTGAACTCACCTGGGCACTTTATAGTCATAGGGTATGGAACTACTCCTGACACAGGTACAGAGCAAACCTACTCCCTCTTCCCAAATTTTTTTCTTTTTGCCATCATTTCAGCAAGTGTACATCCACCATATAAATGCATATATTTATATAGTGTGTATTTAAAACAACAATAGAAAACCTAAAACTTAAGCAATAACTTAAAAGAATTGCAAACCTGTCTAACATTGCTCTCTTAGGTTGTAACAGACAAGCTTCTGATAACTATAGATTCACACTCGAGTTTTACTGACTGACAAAAAGAATTCTGTCAGCCTCAAACAACTTTTCAATTCTTTAACATACTTCTCAATTCTATACCCAAGTCCTGAAGTCCATGATTATGATCTACAAGCTTAGCTATGATGAGCAGGTCACAATACTTAGGAATTGTTTCCATGGTAGTAGGTCACTGCTAAGAACACACATTTTGATACTCTTCATGTAGTTCGTGTAGTTAGAATAAAATTAACTGGTACATAAGGTCTTTATTTCATCCTGCTGGTGCTATGACATGACATTATGACAATGTCAGACATTGTGTGTGAGAGAGCCGGTGTACTCACTTCACTTTGTGGGTCCTGAATTACTTTGTAAAGAGATGAAATCAAAGCAGTCTTGTCTTTCAAGTTTGCAGCATAGCTGGATATGGAAGCTTCTGGCAGTGTCTGGAATAAAAATATTATAACTACTTGAAAAAGCTATTTTTATCATTAAAATGTAACGGCTATTTCAACAACAATTTTCCATTACAAGTTATTATTTATCAGAGTTTACTATCAACTAAACCTCATTTCACAAAGAAATCTTACTATGGAAATCACTATGTCTTCAGGACAGCAAAATTGCTGGAAGCACTTTGCAGACAGGTTCATACAGAATGTAATGGCAGTGGATGAGAAACAGGTAAAAATGGAGTTTCACAGGTGCAATCCCAGGGAAATTTCACTATGAAGTTTCAGTACTGCGAAGCTTTGCAGATCCACACTTGAAGGAGTCTTCCCAAGACTGTACTCAGATAGCGAACATTAGTAAAGCATATAGTATTACTCTGAAAGAACACAAAATCCAGTTGACGTGAAGAACTCCTTTCTAACACTAAAGAGATTTTCTGCCAGTACTTACGAAGGTAAAAATCTAATCTTTTTAACAACCCTTTGCAAACTGTACATTTAAACTTACTATTCATAGCTCTTACAGTACTTCTTATCTGCTGTCCTTCAGAGGAGATCATACGTCATTATACTGCTGGGAAAACACATTCTCAGTACATCTCAGGAGACCCAGAGCAAATCCTATAGTCAAGCCTTGTCCGTCCTCAAGCCAGTAAGACTACTCATCTGTGATATACACTTCCACTACTCTGTATCAGGAAGCATGTGATCCCAAAGAGGACAAGGAAAAAAATCCTTTCAAGCAAACATTTGCATATATCACATTATATCAGCAAAATTCAAGGTTACTACTTTTTTTCATTTTCTACAGCAATCAAGCACCCTTGCACGCTGCTCCAGCAGTGATTCAAACCCTACTGGCTAAATATCTGAGAGTTTATTACCTTGAATTCTGATAACCACTCCTCCACGACTCCAGTATCCACAGCTAACATCTTCCAACATCCGCTCCAAAACCTTCAGCCTGAAAGAACAGGCAAACACAGTCTGTGAAAGGCATGTAGTCACTGCATTAAACAGATGACAAAAATTAAGCCCCTGTGAGTATTTAAAGAATCTTATCATGCTTTTACTTGTTAACATTTCACACACTGACATTACTTTGAACTTTTATTCTACCTCACTGACGCAAGCTGCTGGAAACACTAAGCACGGGAGTCTTCACATACAGCAGTTTAATAAATTCCAAATATGTATCGCGTGGGAAGCTCAATAAGTCAAAGATTTGCAGAAATGGCATTTTGAAAACAGAAAACATTACCTTCTCAATTTGAATTTATTCTGCAGCTTACAGAACCTCAAGGCCTCACTGAAGAGAAATGATCGTTTAGGTTTTTCCCAGTCAACTGCTAGTCCTAACTTGGAAAAGGTCACTGAAATAAAGACTGACGGAAAACATTTCAATCCTCCCCCACCGTGGCAACTGCAAGACCAGCAGCCTGTTGCCTCAGCAGGCAGCCCGAGAGGGACTCCCCTCTCCAAGAGCCTCCACAATCTCAGACAGAGCAAGCTCATCAGTACCAACCAATACTTGAACAGAAGGTATGCAGAGTGGCTTCTGAAACTAATTTCTGATTTATTTTTTGTGGAACCACTTAACAACTGTCCTTTGGAATGGCTCATTCTGAAACAAAAAGCAATGCATCGCTAAAATACAAAACTATTAAAAGACGGTATGTTGTGGGGGATATCCCAGGCACAGGTAAGCTATTAAAAAAATACACATCAGCTTACCCAAATTGTGAATGCATCACTAAAATACAAAACTATTAAAAGACAGTATGCTGTGGGGGATACCCTAGGCACAGGTAAGCTGTTAAAAAATACACATCAGCTTACCCAAATTGTGACCATGGATTTCAAACGACAAAATTAAATACTCATCTGAGGAAAACAACAACAACAAAAAAATCAACATTTACTAGGTTAAACATTTAGTCATGTAAGACAGCCCATCAAATTTTACTACATCAGTTTAAAATTAGTTATAAAGTACTGATACCCAAAGTATGTGTTTGCTGATGAATGACAAGCCAGGAAAAGATAGAAAGGGAAGAACTGCCTTGTATAAAACAAATACAAGTATTTTGTTCTGAAATCTAGACTATTGTGGAATATATCCAGCAAATTTTAAAGAAGCCTAAAGGGAGAAGAACCAGAAATGAGAGAAAAATATAATTAAGTAAGGCTTTACTGAAAGAGAAAGCAAGCAAAACCTTTCAATGCATAGGACATAGTTTTGAGGAAATGACTGCTCAGACACGCACAGCAAAAGGAATAAAATTGAAAAGGCTGTCCAGCAACTTCTCAAATCATTTTAACACACAATAGCGTAAGCAGATACTTCCCCCTCCCCTCACTAGTGTCACCACTAAATAAATGACCTGGTCAGGTGAATCCATGGGGAACCAGGTTGGGCAATCTCCTCTCACAGTCCCAGAAGGATACGCAAATCTGCACAAAGCACACAAGAACAGTGCTTGCTGAGCGTGAAAGGGGGACAGGGAAGGGCTAAGGAATTCTAAGCTGTACAGGCCTAGATTTAATTTCTGGAGCAAACAGCAGCAGTTGCTGTAAACACCCAGGAGGGATAATGCAGCAGCAGCTCAACTAAAAGGCTTCTCCTGGCAGGCAGAGGGTTGGGGCAGCTCCACGAGAAGGACACCAGCAGCAGCAGGGGAGGCAGGGGACAACCCACAACCAAGAGAGGATGCGGCAGGCCAGGCTGGCAAGCAAAGGGTACAGAGTTGTGCAGGCACGAGAGACCTCATTAACAAAAGCCCAGAGCTAACTAGGGCCCCATCTCAAACGTAAGCACGTGCACAGAGCACTGCCTGCAGGACAGCGCGAGAGGGGAAGCTCAGATACCCTTCCTAGCAAATCTGCGCGACTGGGCGCCTCCACAAAGTGCCTGCACAGCGACCCAACAGCGAGGCTGACCGGTCTGCACGCAGCTGCAGGGCCGTGATCTCAGTGGGATCACTGAGACATGGTAGCATGGCTCACACAACCACACCTGGGCATGGTCAGTCTGGGACGGTGAAGGAGGAAAACTGCTCTTCCTCTGGGAAAGCAGCAGGGATGTACGGAGCTCTACCCTGCAGTGGATGACGGAACAGCTCAAAGCTTACAGGTCACGGATGAGAGGGCAGACCTACATGGGTGACACTTTGGCAGGTGCCTGCTACTCATCACCTGGTCAAGATAAAATACATGAGACCTTGTTCAAACAACTGAAGAAGCCAGGCATTCTGGTCCTCACAAGGAACAGGAGCTGCCCTGCTATCTCCTGGAAGGGCAACACAACAGGGAACAAGAAACCCAGCAGGTTTTTGGAGCACACCAATTACAACTCCCTGAAAGAGGCTGCTTGGCACAGTACTCTGCTGAACGTCACAATTACAAACACAGGAAAACCGGGTAGTGACGTGAAGGTCAGGGCAGCCATAGCTTCAGTGATCCCAGCACAGCAGACCACAGGATTCCAAGAAGAAGGATCAAAGCAAAAGGAGGATGAAGAATGGGACACGGGCTTTTGCAAAAATATCATCAGCAATGGGAAGACCAAATGGGGCAGAGGACTTGCTGGCAGGAGATAAGGAAAAGGTCGAGGTACTAACTGCTGCCATGAGCATCAAGGGCAGCCCACAGGAGACCCAGACCTCTGCCCGCAGACAATTTCCAGACTCAGAGGGCTGTGACCAGTGGCACAAAGCCCAGCTGCAGACTCGGCCTTACTGGTGCATGCCAGTACCCAGGCCAGGACAGCTTAACATCTGCATTAATGACAAAACCAGGCACAGAGCCTGGCACCCCACAGGGCCCTACTCATGGGGACATCAACAGGCAGGAGACCTGAGCCCACACATCAACCTCAAGAAGCTTCAAGGGCAACGCCACGTCCTGCTCCTGGGGACAAACCCCCCCAGGCACCAGCACACCCAGGGGCCAAGCAGCTGGAAAGCAGCTGTGCACAAAAAGCCCCGGGGTCATGAACCAGGGGAAGGTGAGCCGGCCACACGCTCTCTTGCTGAAAGAGAACCAAGAGCCCTCAGGCCACCGGCAGGTCAAGGGAGGTGAGCCTTGCCTGTGCTCGGCCCTGGCGAGACACATCTGGAGCACTGGGCACCCCAGTACAACAGACATATGGACACACTGGACAGTTTGGCAAAGAGCCACAAAGCTGATGGGCGAACTGGAGCACCGCTTGCGTATGTTGTGGCTGAGAGAGCTGGGACTGTTAAATGTGGACAAAAGAAGGCTCGTGGAGATTTTATGAATATAGATAATTACCAAAGGGGAGAGAGTAAAGAAGGCAGAGTCAGGCTCTTCTCATTGGTGTCTCATGACAATACAAGAGGCAATGGGATAAATTGAAATACACTTTAAAAATGTCTCAATGTAATCTCATTTAATGGTCACTGAACACTGCAACAAGTCGCCCACAGTGGCTGAGGAATCTCCATCCTTGTAGATATTAAAAACCCAGTTGAACCAGTTCCTCAGTAACCTGTTCCAATTTTCACTATTTTGAGCAGTGATGGTTGGACTTAATGACCTCCAGAAGTCCATTCGGACCCCATCCATTCTGTCATCCTGTATCAACAAAGAAACAGGAAGGACTGTCATGAAGGAAATTCATCTAGCTAAACACCAACTCTTTCCGATCACCACTGATGGTCTCTAAAAGTATAATGATGACCACACTGACTAGTGGCCACCGAATAGTACCGGTTTTATGTCAAACCACACTGTGAAGTGAGGCTTTTAAGGATAATCCTGTGTGCTCACAAACACAAAAGCTACTTCTACTACAATTACTGAAGCGGCGACCTCATCAGTTCCTAGAGAATCTCACAATCTACGGGCCCCACTTCCGTTCCGGTGAAGGCAGACAGAGGGTTTGTAACATCTCCTGCTGCAGCGAAGTTGACAATAGGAATCACTCCCTACTGAGCCGTATTAATAGCTCAAATGCCTGTGCTAATATTGACTGTTCAAAGGAAGAAACCCACAATTTAAAACTGTCCAGAGGAGTCCTGGATGCTCCAGTCCATAGTTGACACCGCACAGATAAAAAGGATGCATTCTTTAATCTATCTCTACTGATCTGTGAAGCATTATTTTCGGATTAAAAGCTCCCAGAGAACACAGGATTCATCTCACTAGTAAAAACAACTTCAAACAACAGCATCCTTGTCTGGCATTATCCATTGGACTGAGGACAATAATTCAAGCTTTTATTACTGTGTATTTGAAGGCAAAAGCATGAACTTCTGAAATTAAATCTATAAAAAGCTGAGCTAAAGGAAGCAAGACAAAGTTTTTGCTGATCAGGTCTTTGATTTTTAAAGTAGCAGAGGCATTCCATGGAGAGTTAAGGCAGTTGAGACGTGCAGAAAATAGACTGTCCTTGCTTTACCTTCATGTATTAAAAAAAACCAAATGCATATATAATTTCAAATACACTGTTTAACTGTATATTGCATTCACGGTAATATATATGAGTGTCACAAATAAGAAATCTAATTTTATAATTATTTTCCTTGAAGGCAAAGAGGAAGATTATCCATCAGACTGATCTCTCCCTAGAAAGAAAAAAAGCCTCAATTCCACACATCAGGTGTGTGAGATCTATTAGGACAGGCAGACAATCTACTACTTAGCTGAGGGTTGCCACATTTTGTGCTAGTTAAAAAATACATCAAGTTGGACTGCAACAATATATGGACAGAATCAGCAAACGCAAGGCTGTTCTAAAGGAAGGATTAAAAAACTCCATTTAACAATACAATATCTTCTGAAGCCCACAGAAAGGCAACCAAAAGTAACTTTAAAATGGAATTTTTAACACAAGTAGGCCAAAGTAAGGTCTAATTTATAGCATCTGTTAAGCTTTTACATGGAAAAAAAAAACCTAAAGGATTAAAGAAACATGCCTTAATTACAGCTCTGCTT